TTTTTTTTTTTTTTTTTGATATAGAAAAGGTATAGGATAGGTAGTGTGTGTAAAAAAATGCAGAATAAAAATTAAGTACTAAGAAGTCAAAAGATTGAACTGAAGAACTTGAAGAAGTCAAGTGATTGAAACGAACGAAAGTTATATAAGTTTTAAAATATTCTAAAATATGTCGCACGGATTTTAGATAAATCTCAAATCGAAGTTGTAATTTAAAATCGGAGTTATACTCAAAAATTAAAGTTATAATATTGATTATTTTGTTAGTACGGAACGGAATTTGCGGTTTTAATTATAATAGTTATATTTGCGTACTTTTTACGCAACTTTTGCGATAATCACTCCGCTTAGCACAGCAAAGTATCTTGCTTCGTTACTTCAACGAAGCATCAGTTCGCAATTTCTTTGCGAAAATTGTTTATCGAAAACGAAACGGATCGAAAAAGCAAAGTTAAAAACATATTGAAAAATTCGATATATCTACACATTTGAAATCTAAATTAACGTTAAGTAAAACGCGATCAATCAAAATTTCTACGTAAAACTTTTCGTACGTGTACTTTATTATCTTTCACAAGATGGATTTTATCAATGATACTTGATAATCACGTATACTCGTATAATCAAAACTAAAAATCGCGCTGATAGTAACGTAAGTTTAAATTAAATAAATATGTTATTCTTTCCCGATATACTTTTCGATAGTTTCTAAAATATTTAACTTTATCGTAAAATTCTCGCGGAAAATCTACTCTTTAATCGATATCAATAAACAACAAAAAGTAAAAAAATGGCAAATTTTAAATAAAACAATTCGCGAAATCTAAAACCGCGTACACGACCGCGATCGCGTTATTTCCTCGCACTTGCGAGGTCCAGGGCGTCGATTTCGACGCAAGGCGAACTAAACGTTCGCAATTTGTTGAAAATGAGAAGTCGTCGAGAAAAAACCGGTATAAAATCATTACATTACGGTATTAAATAATTACAGAAAATAACCATTACATGAAGCAATTTGAATTGGTTTGAAAAGAGTAGTCAATATATCTCTTTGATAATGATATAAAATATATGAAAAATATCTTTATTATTCTGAATATTATACTCTAATTTCTATAAGTAAATTTGATTTAAATCTATAATCACAACAAAAACTATATTTTTATCTTTGAAATAATTATTTTTTCTCGACGCTTCGAAATAAACAAGTAAAAACTATGTATCGCACTGATTTTTAAAAAACCCATCACCTACCCTAAAAGTTTACTCACGTGCGCTGGCCACTTACTGCGAGGACACCACTCTGTAACAAAATAGAAGTTTATCATTAGACTAAGAACTTCGAAGAAAATTGGATGTACTTTAATATTTTTATATGTAAGATATATAATATTAAAAACAGAAATATACCTTCGTGCCAGCATTTTATTGCCCGAACCGGCTCCTCCGGTACTGCAAACACCGCCATCAGGAATACAGCCATCAGGAATACCGTCATCAGCGTCACCAAAAGTCCAGATTGTATCTTCTTTAGCACTTGAACACGCGCGATTAAGTGAATTTCTTTCATATTTTCTTTAAAAGTTGCTTTTGATAATATTAGACGTTAATTCACGATGAAAAATTTCACGTATATCAAACTATTACCTTACTGTTTCGAGATTTGTTTTTTTGTAAAATAAAGTATTTTAAATATATAAAGCGATGTATTAAAATTACACGTAACTCACATTTTTTTGTTATATGTATGTTATAGCATGATATGAGCAAATATATTTTTTATTCGAATTTTACAGAGAATTTTACAACACAACCACTCTTTAAAATCGAGTCAACACAAGAACTACTGAATATAAAAAAATCTATAAAGTTTATTCACCTCCGAACTCTTCTCAATGACAGTTAAGATGACAATGGTACCGCTTGCACCCAAACTGTCAGAGAGAAGAATTCGAAAATGGATAAAAAGTTATAGATTTACCGCGGTTCTCTTAATAAAGAGTATTAACGAAACTTTAATGTGTAAAATATTAATTACCGTATTGTAAAATTCTTCTGAAGATTGAAATAAAAAATATAATTTCCAACATATGTTATATACAATATGTAACAAAAAAATGAATGTCGTTACGTGAATCGATATATCTCTTTATGTATTAGAATAATTATTTTAGAAAATAAATAAATGACGAAGCGGAAGACTAATAATTTATATACGCGAAATATTTAATCGCGACATACGCGGTATATTTACAATAACAAAATTATATAATTAATTCACGAAGAAATTCACTTATGTACGAAATTGCGAACTTGTTATAATGAAAAAGAAAAAATTTCGCGCACAACCCGACAACACGTTCGTTACCCTTGAGAGATCGACAAGGTCTGAAGCTACGCGCTGCGCTGTGAATAGAGTTTTCCATTGCGCGCACGCATCCCCTACTATGCGCTTTCGAAATTTTCTTCGCGGATCCACAATTCCGTAGTAAGGGTTGAGCGGTTTCACGAGCGTCAAAACAACAAAAACACTCGCCGGTTGGAAAAACACCTCAGTCGTTAAACATAACACGCTTATTTTTCATATACTTTTGTATTAAAATTTAACATTTATTACATTTCTTAGTTCTCTTTAAAAGATGAGAACATTTATTACATTTCTTAATTCTCCTTAAAAGAAGGGAATTAAGAGATCTTCTCTTCTTTTAAAGAAAATCGGTAGAATCTCTTCTTTTAAGATCGAATCGGTAAGATCAAGAGAGTAAATAATGAGCGATTTTGAGACAGTTCGTCGTATAGAGAAAATTAAAAACGTAACTAAAGTCACGTGACAGGAAAGAGTAGAAAAACAACACTTGAAAATAACGTGACTGTAAATTTATAGTATATATAACATTAAATAATACATATTATACATATAATTATTATATATTTATAATATTATACTTTATATTGTATTATATGTATTATATACATACTACAGTAATGTTACTGACCTCCGCCGCGCGGCCTTGGCGTGGTCATTGACCTCGGCCGCGCGGCCTTGGCGGGGTCACTGACCTCGGCCGCGCGGCCTTGACGCGGTCATTGACCTCGGCCGCGCGGCCTTGGCGGGGTCACTGACCTCGGTCGCGCGACTGCGGTGGAGTCACTGACCTCGGTCGCGCGACCGCGGCGGTGTTACTAACTTCGGTCACATGATGGCATCCAACCGCAAAAAACTATTTCCTTGAGCGAATGCCCTCCCAATGAACCGTAAAAATCGGGACCACTTTTTCCATTCTCGCGCTATCAAGTTCGATCTCCTTGCTCTTACTTCGTGATCTTGAATTTTAATATATATATTCAAGAATCGATTTTTTTGCAAAAATCGAACATTTGTAGTAGTTTATAGTATAAACTACTCAAGATGTGTACTGCGTGCGCTGTGCCCAACCGCCAACGGTATCTGGCGACAGATCAAAGAAATATAATTTATATCTATTGCCTGTCGTTAGATGGTAAGCGCGTTTTCTGTTCATTCCTGAATGTCTGATGTTGATAAAATGTGTGACTGTAAAAGTAGGTAAATACTATCGTATGCAGTAGAAACATGTCTGTAATACGTACATACCTGTGTATACGTGTACATATATTTAAGAATTTATAAGATTTATAAATAATAATTATAAGACACACAAAAAAGACTTACGCATTGTTAGACGCACTTTGTTATTAGAAAACGCGCGCGTATTCGAACCTCTTTTGTAAGTTTTAACAAATTATAAACGTGTGTTTATTTTCATTTCGCTTCCTCTTTCTCTTTTTGAAACGACATCACCGCATTAAATTAGATTACCTAGATTTTTCGAGGCTTCCGTAATAAGCGAATCGCGAAACCTGCTAATGGACACCTCGCCTCATAATTTCTTTGTCCTCCGATCGGGTGAGTACTGTGCCAGTTATTTCCCGCGTATATGTAACAATATTTTCCACACAATTTCGTGTAGTCGGAAACGCGCAAATCGATTTGAGCGCGAAGCGATTTTGAAAATTTTTTCTTTGCATTGTTATTTCAATAAATTTTGCTGAGGTGTCACACGTAGGAAAATATAAAACCAGACGTAATTGATAAATAAAACATTTCACGTACGTTTACACGAGGAGAGTGAGTGCGACGTCGAGTGCGTTTGATTTAAAAGATCTTCTTCTGGTTTGTGTAAAAATCGAATCAGTGAATTTTCGACAAATCTGGAACTCGAGATTGCGATCCAGACAGTGAAACCGATCACGCGCGCGAATTTGTACGATAAAATTAATACGACTTCAATAACAATGTAAGCGTGTAAATTGCGTCTCGACGAGGCTACCGGTGCTACCGTTGCAACGAGCGAAACTTACGTCAAACAATTTATTTTTGTACTAACGATTATTTTCAAATATACGCAAATCGAAGAATCGCATTCAATTTGAAACTTCAATTTGTTTCGTTGCTCGAAAAGATCAGAGAATTTGAAGGATTTAATTATGATTGAGGTCAATGGCCTCTTGTGTGTTCTGCGATCGCTCCCAGAGTTTCATTGTCTGCTGGATGAATGACGCGTGTACATGTAAATGCAATACAAATCTGATCGCAATCGGACGCGCGCCTCTCCTATTTCCATCATCGCGTTCCCGGTACGTTTGATCGTACCGCGAATGACTCAGATCGATTTGCGTTCCTTTCAATCGTCATCGAATGATCACCCTCCGATGATTGTTTTCTGCGAAAACGATCTCTCGGCGGAAATCGAGTTTTTATCTCCCGTCTCTGCCGCCGACGTAGTCGGCGTTTACAGGCAATCCGAGGGACACATCTCTCTGTCTCTCTCTTTCTCGAATCATCGGCCTATTGATTTTCTCGTGGAGGCGCACGCGCTTTTCCGCTCGCCGCTGCTACGACGAAGGTGCGGCTAAACCATGGATCCCAGTGTACTCGCCACCATGGACAAGGAATCACTGAAGAGGCAAATCGAGAACATGGCCTACCAGGCAGCCATGGAACGGTGGACGTTATCGAGAAGTATCGCGGCGTAAGTGCACAACGACGCCTATTCATCGTCCTCGTCTTCCTCGTCGTCGTCGTCGTCGTCGTTGTCGTCGTTATCGTCTCCGCATGCATCCACTTGCGCTTATCGTCGCTCCCAACCTTGCGTACACTACGTGCAAAGCTTGGTGGAACGCACGACCCCGTAAATGTTCTTAGAAATCCAGACAAAAATTTGATCAGATTCTATATCGGCGGGACCTTCGGAAAAAAAAAAACAGAAAGGCCGATGCAGAATTTCTCGCCAACTGAAAGCTCGAACGAAAAGCGCTCGATTTCTAGGACGCACGCTCTGTATTTACGTTTACGTTATAGTGTGTTCTATTTTATTTAACAGTTGCGAGAGAGAATACTTGTTTATATTTAGTTATTTAGTTATTTGTTTACATTTAATTTTATTTAAAAAGCAGCTCCCTCTCTTTTATACACGAACAATTTTTGTGCGCAGCTTGAACGACGCTAGAACGCAATCGCCAAACACTGCACTCCACGCAGCTTGACAATGTAATTTATTCCGTTATATTTCTGATAATCGTTTCTACGCGCGCGTGTGGAAAACGAGAAAAGCACCAAGATTGCGGTGCACATACATAGATACATACGTTGTCCGCGATCGCTCGGGCACCAGCGCGCGCGCGCGCGCGCACCTTTTCCCAGATAAATCATCTCGCGTGTACGTACGTACGTACAACAAGCGGCTCGCCAACGCGCAGTCGCGCGGACCGCACTCGGCAGTCAAGGCTGAATTATGCTTCGGCGTCCCCGTATTACATGGCGGGACAGGATCTCCTTGGACGGGTGGTATGTGTCCGCGTTAATCGCGTTTTCGCGACACGATCACTTTCCGAGAGAGACATACGTACGCGTAGAACGTTAGGTTTTATATGCGGAGAGCGCGCGGGAAGAGAACAAGCGATCGCGCGCGACGACGAAGGTGCAACAAACCCTGAGCGCGAGATTATTGCGGATGACTCAACGCGGCGACGATAAATCGATCAATAAGTCTTAACTGGGCCGCCGATCTCAATCACAATTACGTCGTAATCGTCGTCTTCGCGCGATTTCGAAAGGGCGCGGAAAAAAGATTAAAAAAAAAAATCGCAAGAAGGAGATCGCGCAAGGATTATTCTCTCGATTCCGCTGCAACCTGACGGACAGCTGATAATGGTGCGGCGTATCCTTCTAGCGCGCGTGTGCGGCAAGTTGTTGCGGTTAATGATCGAGCGACCGACTTATTGCGACACGCACAGTTCGCGAAGTGCGTTCGCATTTGCGAAGTTCGTAATCAACTTAATATATTCAAAAATAAAAAAAAGACGCGCGACGTTCCTTCATCCTTGTCCTAAATGCGTCACATTTTTGTTTTTTTTATTTATTACAGTAATATCCTGACAAAAATGTGTATTCGCTCAGTCGTGCGACGACGTTTGACCTCCTCAGCTTTGAAATGTCATTGTAACTAGCGGGAGTCTCGCGTCGATATGAGAAATGTCGGACACTTGTCGCCGAGCGAGTAAAAGCGACTTAAGGTCCCCTAATCGCTCGCGCCGCGGGGCGTTTCGCAAAATTCCGGTATTACATCAGCGTAAAGTATAAAAGAAGGATGAGGAAGCGGGTGGTAACCCGCATTGTGTTGTGTGTTATCGAGGTACGGGAGATTAGGTCGATCGGCGCGAGGGATAAAAAGAAAAGGAGGAGGGAGAGACGCGCGGGGGCTAGCTGGCTGCCTTTCACCAGTCTCGAGAAGTCTCGCGAGACCGCGGAAACTTTTTGCTTTCGCGCGCGCGATTCGCCTCGAAGACCGCGCGAGAGAACCGTCGTCGTCGTCGTCGTCATCGTCGTCGTCGTCGTCGTCGAGAGAACGCGTTCTCCGCGTCGTTCCGCAAGCGAGAGCACGCACCGGAACACGAGTCCGCGCCTACACGCTCGAGGCAACGACTCGTCCGATTAACGAGCCTCGCGGTGTTATCCGCTGAAACAGTCGAATTTACCGGCTTGATTTAGAAAGAGACAGGCAGGCGGTTCGATGTCGCTCTCTTCTCGAATTCAGGAGAGGAAAAAAAATAAACTTCTCCTTTAAACTCGGCCGACGTCTCTCATCGCCATTCATCGCCGCCGCGCGCGATGTAGGTCGCGCATTTCCGATCTCTTCTCGCGGAAATTTCATTTATTCTCGCCGCGACGTTAATTTATTAAATATAGGAATTTTGTACAAACAAATATTTTGTAAATTCTAATCAATATGCGAAAGCAGAAGAAAGACAGAAATAAGATTTAGAATTTGCAGCGTGTCTTTTCGAACTTCGCGGCCCGAATACGATGTTTGCGCGACGCGCGAACTGGAAATACTAGTAGGATATATATTGACGCATTTTTGTCAACCGACAGTTTCACTCTCGGTCTTCGTGTATTAATAAATCAAAGACAGATACACGAAAGTGCGACGGCGAGCAACCGAATTCGAGCGTGAAGTGAGCAGAATCGCGTTTGATTTCTGCAACAACCGCGCTCGAGATCAGATTCGCTCGACGGCTCCGGGGAATCGCTACGATTTCGACGACCGTTTCATTATATAAACGACAGCCGATTAATAATAGGCGTTCGCGGAATCGGTAAGCGTTGCGACACGGGCACCGAGGGAAGAGGTTGTTCAACCCTCATTTTAAAAGTTTTGCGCGACCCGGTCCTGATAATAAGTGAAAGTTAGCGCGCGAATAACTCTGATAAGTCGCGATACGGGACGCGATTCCATATTTTTAGAAAAAAAAAAAAAGTAAAATTTACATTCGTTGCAACGACGACGCGACAAATCAAGCAGATAATTTGAAGAAAATATTCATCCACTTGTTACACAGATTATACCATAAGTAGCTACTTTCTCCAGACGTTTAGAAAAGTTGTTTTTTTTTCCTCAAGCGAATTAGAAAATAAATTCAATATTCGTGAACAATTATTTTTCGAGCGTTAAATACGATTTCGAATTAATCATGAGCGCGAGATATTGGCGGCGTATTAAAATCGAAAGTCTGTAGTAATAAACTCGCAGGTGAACGAGATTAGACAGGAGGGTGTGTGCTTTCGTGTCCCGAGAGAAGGAATTCCGCGGATATTTTCCGCGCGTGGCTGTTTAGCAGCAACCGAAGTCCGAAAGCTTCCAAGTTGCCGCGCGACTCTCCTTGAACGCAAAATCACAAGTCGCGAGTCCGAACCGCCGCGAGTTCCTTTCACCGACTTCTTCTCGCGTCGAAATGAACGAATCGACTCTCCGCGGGCGAGCGGCCGGTCGTATAAACGCGGCCGCAACCACCATTGCGGAGGCGCGAACTCTTTTATCGGGCGATCTTGGCAAATTGGAGGCAACGTATATCTCGACGCGTTCGCGTGAACGGGACATTCTCCGGGAGATTTTGAAAACCGCGCGCCCAGATCTGCGGACTCGGCAACAACGAATCTCGAGCGCGTCGGAATAGAATAAATTGTCGATGGGCATCGAAAAGATTGTTGTAATAATATCGTGAGGGAATTGAGACGCGCGCGAAACGAAGATTCATCTCTTCGTTCGGCGGTGGCTGGACTCGAGATATCCGATAGGTATCTGTTTGACTAAAAGTTACAGTCAAATTAAATATTAAATAACACAAAATAAATATATTCATACACTTATATATAACAAACAAAATTAATATATTTAAAAATTATGCACTTAATATATATATTATTTATATATTTGTTAATATTTTATTTACATATTTTTAATATTTATAACATTGTAAATATATTTATATATTTTTAATTTGTATGTTTGATACTATATTTGTGTACGCGGAGCTGCTTTTTGATCATTTGATAGAAATCAGAAATGACCCAAGCCCAGTCCGCCGTGGGTTAAAATATTTTTGAAACGAACGCACGTTTATTGCGCCATAATATTAGATAAGTCGTTGGAGCGGCAACGTACGGTAGGATTCTCTGTAGGATTCAGCGTTACGCGATACACACAGTTTGATCTCCACATTCTTTCTCGGCAGGTTACGGGAGTACATAGAAGATAACGAGAAGGTCGATCCGCTGATACACGCGCCCGATAAGAAGAGCAATCCCTGGGCCGAGAAAGGCAAGTGCATAATCATGTAATCGGGACCGGCGTAAAAGAAGGGCAGCAGAAGAAGAAGAAGAAGAAAGCGTGCGTACACCGAAGCGGAGGAGAAAAGAAGTCCGGTCGTTCATCCGCAGCGATTCCAGGGGCGGAGACCGCGAGGAGGAGGAGCAGCAGCAGAAGGAAGAGGAAGAAATTCTCGCCGGTAAACATCCGCTGCGGTTTGATCTCGCGGGGTCGTCGTCAAAGGTGATCGTCAAACCGGCGACTGCGATCGATCGCGATTTGATTCTCGACGAAATTCGGAAAATCGAGAGCGAATCGTTTGAACCGGACCGAGCCGTTTCGTTTTCCTCCGAGGACAGTTTTGCTATCGCGCGACGTGCGACTACGGACCGATTTTCGATTTCCGCGTTGTCTAAAAAGAAGAGAAAAAAAAAGAATCAAACGAGCGCGTTGTTTTAAACAAGTTGCGTCGATTAAGCCGAAGCGACAAGCCGAAGGGAAGAAGGAAGAAAGGAAAATCGGAAAACCCGCCCGGATTGATCGACGTGTCGAATCAATCAGCCGCCGCATGTCACGCGATGAATGCACATCTCACTCGCCGATGCACTTGCCGTATATACAAAACAGAAACTCTCCTCAATCACCGACGACTCATTATCTTAAAAAAAAAAAAAAAAACAATTTACATCGTAAATATAAATTTATTCTATAATGTGAAATAATACGCGATATAATAATATAATTGTACACACCTTGTTAATTGCGACTCTTGTATCTTATCTCTGCGCGAATATTTCTTACGAAAAAAAAAAAAAAAATACACGACCAGCGATCGAAACCCTGTACCGTTTTCAACAGTTTGTTATCCGTTTCCAGAGAAATACTTGTACTCGTCGTACGAAAAAAAAATCTCACTTGATAATTCCTTTACATGTCGAATAAACAAAAACATATATGGTATATTATAAAGAAATAAATGTAATAAATAACTGAACTTTACAAACGTCGTCACTCTTAAAAATAGACATTTTATTTATTTCTCTCTGTTGTAAAATTACACGCAACTTAGGTGTAAATAAAATTACGCAAATTTTTTACGACCGCCTTCTTCAAATTCGCAGCGCGTTTTATTACCGATTTCCTAACGCGACGAATTCAGGAGGGAGAGGGTGATTTCAGCCGCTCGGTTCTGTTTCACGCGATGCAAACACGACGTGCGATGTATCTCCGCATTTATTATTCACATTAATTTATTATTTTTACAAGTCGAGATAAAACACGTCGAGAAAAAATCGCGAGTTACGAGTTTTAGAAACTGTACGTTTGGTTTTTTTTTTTTACCGAGAGAGCTTACCATTTGATTGTACATTACACACGAAACCGATAAAAAACAAAAAATACATCATCTTACGTAAAATCGAATGAGAGAGAAGACCGCCAATTTGTCGTGCGCGTCGTAATCGCACACAGTCTGATAGTTCAAACCAAAGAGAGTTAGTTTCTAGCGTCACGAGAGCGTCTCTTGAGTAACTCCGCGCGTTGACACGCGGAAAGGAAACACAACGTGGGAATCGTAAATGCATAATAAATATAATTCTCCCGGTAAACGAGTAATTTTCTGAAACCGAACGGTGCGCAGTCTATTACCATCGGCGGTCGGCGCGGTTCCTCGCGGGAGGAAAAAGGGTTAACGACCGTTTCGTGGTTTTCGAACTGCCGCAGCGGCGGCGGCGCCCGGTCAATTTGTTTACGATTCTCTTGTAACGTTAATTTCGCGGATAACTTACGGATCGTTAGAATCGCCTAACGGAGAAGGGAGCGGCGAAGGAGCGTGTTTCTCCGCAAAGTCTCGAAGACGGATATTAAAATTCCTTACAAGTGGGAGGGGCGCGTGAAAAGCGGAAAAAAATCTTCCCCTCTTTCCCCAACAATTAGATTCGACGAAGCATTGCGAGAGAGAGCATCGCTACTTTCGCTCTTTCGAGAGGCACTACAACGCGCGCCTCCGCGACAATTAGCGACACAAACGCGACGAATTAGGGTGTTTTTTTTACATTTCCGTTCTCTTCCGGAGTCATCTCGCGTGCGATTAATCCGCGAGACGAGATAATGAGACGCGCGAGGTGCTCGTTACGCGCGCCGCGATAATTACGTGCGCGCGTTGTTGAGTGTCGCCTGCGCGCGCAAATGACAGATTTTTTTTTTTTTTTTTTTTTGAGGAACAAGTCGCAGTCTTTCGAAACGCTCGGTCAATTATCACAACGGTCACATATCGAAAGGAGGGAGAAACAAAGCCCGCACCGCGCGTCCTGAAATTTATTTAACGAGTCGATATATTTCTTTGGGAATGCGCGCGCGCTAAATATCTTCGCGCAAGAAAGCGCTCGGAAAGAAAATGCGTTCTGGAAGTAATTTGCCGCCGACTTCAATTTTTTTCCTAGCGAAAGTCTAAGAACAGCAGTTCTTAATTACATCGGCCTTTTGGAACAGATAATTACAGCGATGCGATCAATCAAAACGTAAACCGGTAATCAACATCAAGTGTGTTACACGCGCGCGCGCGCGCGCGGAAATTAATTACAAACGTGAATTTTTCTCTCGGATTACAATAATATTTGATTGTGTCGATTTTTATCTCTCGCTCGTTTGTTCGTTTTTTTTTTGTTGTTATTCAAAAGGAAACACGTGCGCAAATTGCGGCTTCGTAAAAACGAGGCTTTCTTTTGCGCGGCGTCTCACGACCTGCGGAGTCGTCTCGCGAGTTTTAGTTTTTATGTAGGTTTTGAGAAAACAATCAATTTATTTTAATGCAAAATCGACATTTCATGAAATATAATATTAAAAAAATGATATCGTCGACGTTCATCGTCTCTTCACCGCGATAAATGCGGACTCTCTGCTCTCGGAGATCGAGCGTTGCTCCTTCATTTTTTTTCAAATGTGTTTTCCAATATATCATAATTTCTTGCCTGTCCAAAATCCTTAATTAGAAAAAATTACTCGCCGGATTTTGAATTGATAGTAAACACAAAATATTTCTTTCGCCGAATGTCACGTGTTAACATAAGTCAATCAATGTGTTTAGATTTTAAAAGACTGGCATACATTTTACAAAATCAACCGACGTTTTCTCCTACAAATATGTAAGAGATTTCGATTAAATATTAAATTTCGTCAGCGACTGCGGTGAGATTTTCGCGTCGCTAATCGCGCGATCTGATACGCGGCCCTCTATTGAATTTCATGAACTTTCTGTATCTTTTACTCATGCGAGAAAAATCGCGTATCACTTCACGCGGGTCCCAACTCAAAAGACGATTATTTCTTCAGACGATTACGCGCGCAACAGCGTCGCAATAGCGGATATATTGCCCCTCCTCTCCCCCGGTTTATCGAATGTTGTGCGGAATAATAATTTCGCGATCGCTATCGCGAGCTGGGGCATTATCCCCAATTATTATCGCTTGTTGCGACATATAAATAACCGATCGATTACGTGCATAAAATGCAGTTATGCTCAATCGGTCATGCTTCACATTAAAGTACTTTCGAGCAATCACGGCAAAGCGATTATCGGTTTTCCATTATCTTCTGTGTCACGCTTTTAGTCTCTTCGTTTTTTTTCCCCTTTCTCCCTCGGTCGATGTTGCGCTCCGGAATCAATCGTCGAACAAGTGTTCTCTTTCTACGCTGATTAAAAACAAAATTCTATCTTCGGTTCAATTTGTTTCACGCGCGCGCGTATTTTCGTGCGCGTCGAATATTGAAAAAGTATGACAGTGTCTGAAAAGACCGTCGGAGTTTCGATGTCCGTACGCGTGTCGTCCACCGACGACTATAGCGCACGCTGTCACTTACTATACGCAAAATGAAAGGCGATTTTAATTGCGGCTATAACTACGACGACGACGACGACGCTGATGACGCCGACGAAGACATCGTCGTCTCGAGGCGAGCTGCGAAAACGTTCGCCGGAGAGAGAACGGGTGCACCCCCCGTTCACAAGAAGTAAGAGGAAGAGGAAAAAGAGAGTGTGAGAAAGAAAGAGAGAGAGAGAGAGAGAGAGCGACATGGCTAGAGAGAGGGAAAATGAAAGAGAGCAAAAGAGAAGAGAGAGAGAAAGAGAATGACAGTAGGTTGGTCTGCCACGGCAGTCAGTGTTTCCCGAACTGTTGTCAGTGATAGTTCCCCGATCATGCGGCGACGGATCCTCGATCACTGATCCGTATCAGCAACGAGATCCACAATTTTTTTTTCGCCGATCTGCCGGCAGTTCTGTCGCGCGAGTTGTTGTTGAGTTTTCCTTGTTCGTTTTTTTTTCCCCCCATCGACAAAGACACTGACCGGGAGGAGGAAAGATTTTTCGTCGAATCTCTTGTTCGCGCGCTGTGCTTAAAAGTCACGGGCCGTTGTTGTTGTTGTTATTGTTTTGAATAATTGGAATAATGATGGTGAGTGAGTTTTTACACAATTTTATTATCAATCGATAATTGTAAGTTTTCTCTAAATATTTTTTTGAGGGGAAGAGACCAGCAATGATATCCGTCGAAGATCGTCTCGTCGAAGGAAGAGATCGTTTCCTTCCGAACGCGATTTGAACTCCAATTTTGCGAGATCGAGAGATCGTCGAAGAAACGCGACGCGATGTTCGATCGCGTTTTTCATTTTTCACGCGGCCCCGTTCCCAAGTCGCGTCCGATTTTCGCGATGAAGTTATTACATCACACGCGACCGAGAGACTACCGAAACCGGTCTAAAAAAAAAAAGATCAATGTAGAATTTAAAAGACGTTGAAGTAGCAGAGCCGTTTGTCGCTAGTTCGTCGATACTTTCGACATTGCTCAATCTCGATAGAAAAACTCGCGATTAAAATGTCCGCGGTCGAATAAAAAAAATACACAGAAAAACCCACCGCGATACGATACAGAAATCGGATTCTGCGGCAGGTCGTGTGCGTGCACACGCACACGCACTCGCGGATACCAGGACCTTCGGTGGAGAACTCGTTCTGTCCTTCCGGGTTATACCTGCGAGTCCTCTCACTTTCGTCGTGCGACGACCTCGCCGATGCAGTTTTTCAATGTAACGGCATAAATCCCCGCCTAACGGCGACATCGAAGTTGTCGAGTGATTTCGACGCGCGTGGGCGAGGAGTCTTTTCTCCACACCCGAATCGCGTACGAATTGACAATCAATTAAGACAAAAGCAAACGCATATATTGTTATTCTGTCACAATTTTGTTGAGTGTCCGGTGCGTTTTTAGCGCGCCGCGAGAATTCACCTGTTTGCTTTGTGAAAGCGCGGATCGTCGATCCGAGGACCGTCATCCGTGCAAATTGAATCGCGCGCCGCGAACTTCTCGTCGCTTTTCACTTCTCGCTTCCAATCTCGTGAGCGATAAATCTCGCATCTTCGCGAGATTCATTTCGGGCGAGAAGAAGCTCGCTCCGGGCTTTTTTTTTTTGTAATGAAAAATTGTACGCAAATACTGGTGTCGTTCTTCTTGACTCGTCCGAGAGAGAAAGCGCAAGAGACTGCGGCGCGGCACGTATATATTATCGAGAAACACGGCAATTTTCGAGAGGGAAAAAATATTTCTTCCCGTCAAAGCTCTCTTCTCGCATTTCTCTCTCTCTCTCTCTCTCTCTCTCTCTCTCTCTCTCTCGGACGCGCAGAATAATCTGCGCGATTTCCGATTGCAAAATGTCGCGCGCACGCGGCGCTACAAAATCTATATCGCACATTACAACTTTCTATCTCATCCTGGGGCCACGCCCCGAAGCTGCCGCACACGTCGCGCAAATGGCAATACAATGCTAATGACAAGTCAAACTGCCGCAGCATTTTCAAGTGGCCCTCTCTTCTCCCCCCTTTCTCTCTTTCAGTCTGTTTTCCAGGAAAGTATTAACATTTAATTTATAAGCTCGACCGATGCTCGGAGAGAATTACATTCGTCGAGAGAGAAACGAATTGCGATTCTTCCGAGAGAGGAAAAGGATGTGTGTCTCTCTATCTATCTATCTATCTATCTATCTCTCTCTCTTCCATTCGAAATCGCGCGCAGGATGCAGCCACGATCGCGCTGAATTATTAATGAGCGTCGCTAATCGTGACTAGTTGGTGTAACGGTAAAGAGAGAGAGACTCGTTTTCTTTCAGTTACATGGAACGCACAGGTGAAACTTCCGAGAATCGATCGTTTGCGATATTTTATATATCGCGCGTCGAAACAAACACACTTTCGTTCATTCTTTAACGCGACGTCCCGCTCTGTTTTAAAGTCTCGATGCGTTTTACGCGTGCGCGTATAATTCATTTTACGCGCTCGCGGATAAATATCCGTTTGAGCTGTAACATCTGACATTTGTTTACAATATATTTTATTTATTCCAACGATTTTATTTTAAATAATAATTCGCTTTGGAAAAATCCGCCTGATAGTGAAATACTGTCTACAATTACCTTCGTGGAGTTGCTGAACGTCGAACGTGTCGTCGGAAGAAAAAACGGCGAGCAATCTTGCAAAATAATCTTGTAAATAATCTTATCTCTCAATTAATCATATAAAATACATCTCGCAATATGTTTTGCTCGCGTCTGATGCGGACACTTCGAGCGTGCGCCGTCTGTGTAGATTCGAGAGATAGGAAGTCGAAGAAAACTCGCAACAAAAAATTATCGCGCCCGAGAAATAAAAACGTCAGACAACGTTCCGAGCGGAATCGGCGCGGAATATTTCCTCGACAAGAAAACAGGCGCGACACACGCTCGGTGAATGCGCGCAACGTACGTACGTACAGGTACTATAGCCGCCGAATCGGGTGGACTTCGATAGAAGAAATTCGGACCGGATTCCACCGACTTTCTATCTACGATTTTTTTTCCCGCTCAGTTACGACGCGCATTGTGCGCGTTTATCTCGAATTACCGGACCGCCGCGCACACGCGAAGATTCGAACGGGTTTCTGAAGCGACAGAAGCGGAGGAAAGTGACAACGTTGTAATGAAGAGTCTATGGAAGCGCGCGAGTCAATGTCCGAGGCGGGGTCTCTCCTCGCGCATTGTCGCGCGCAATTCTGTTAGAAAATCGCGCGAACGGAACGAAATCTCGAGAGAGATGCGTTTTCACCGAATGCGAGGTTCGTTTAATACCAAAGCAAAGTTTAGCGCCGCGAACGCGAGATCGGCCGGAAGTGAGGTGAAAGAGCGGCGGAGATCGTGTGTGTGTGTGTGTGGGTGTGTGTGTGTGTCTCTGGAATATATGAAGTCGCATCGGGCGAGGAAAAAAGATAAGAGGAAGCTTATCCAGGCCATCACCGCGCGTATCACCGACTTATCACGTTTTTTGCTGCAGCGATGGAAATTTCATAAGTGCGCACGCGTAAACATCTCAAATCCGGTGGAAGTGAGCAGACAGGTGAAAGGACGATGTGCGGAATCGAATTGCGATTAGAGACGAGAAGAGCGTCCTTGAATGTGAAGAGAACGTTTTGTAAAAAATCAAAACAAAACATCGCGCGTTCGGTGTAAATTGGAAATAAATTTGAAGAGAGACTACGCGCGTTTTTTTCTCTCTATCGCAGAAACTACGCGGAGTGAAACTACGTCTCGCGAGGAGACATTAATTACTTTTACGAGAAATCTCTCTTGTAGACAATGAGAAACAATGTATATTATTTATAGCAAAACAAATTATATTTTTCTACGCTAATGTGCGCAAATAAAAATCTAAAGTACATAGTGGGAGTACTCGATGCGAAGCAAATAATTAAAGCGCGGTCGCGTGGTTCTCTGGAATTATGAAAATAAGAGGCTTCTCTCTGTGGTATGAGAGCATTCATATAATAGCGAGAATGATAATGACAAGTGGAACAATAATATCTAGAATGAAAGAAAAAAAGAAAAGAGTGGAAGCAACGTGGAAACGGCGCGGCTCAGTTGCGCAGCTCGCAACGTCGTTCAACCTCAGCTGCTTTCCAACGTAACCTACATACGCGATATCTGCCTAAAGAGAATAAAAAAAAAAACCCTTTCTTATTAACGTGTACGCGAATTAAGTGCTCGAAAATTAATTACACGGTTTGAAAACATTTCTTACATGCAAAATTGTCTAACGACGTCGAACGTCAAACAATAAAAACATAAAATAGAAAATAATGATGTTACACGAAAACATCAAACGTTAACTTAAATAGAATTGTCACTCAGCAAAATTATCGGGCCTTAAAGAAAGTCAAACTTTTTCAACCTTCTTTTTAGTATGCGTGTAAAAAGTAGCTCGGAAATTAATTAATTAAAACATTTCTTCCATGTAAAAACTTGTTTATCGACGCTGCTAAACGTCAGATAAAACATAATACAAACAATAAATGATTTTGTACGTAATTATTATTTTACACACAAATAAATATATTGAACGTACTCAAAACGAATTATTGCTCAGAAAGATTTGAAAATAAAATCCTTTTAATTTTCTCGTCAACGAAGTAGTTCGATTTTACAAACAAATACATCGAATGTGTCTGAAAAAAATTATCAAGCAATAAAAAAAATCGTCACATCAATGGATGTGACATTTCGTTGCGACGTCTCTCGTCAAAAAAAACTGACTTAATCGACGCCGTAAAAGGCAAAAATAGGAAGTGAACAAGTCTGTCTATAGACACATCGCAGCGGTGTCCTGCAGCAGGAAACCAACGAGTTTCGTAAGCGCGCGACGCGCGGTGTCCCCAAAGGCCCCTCCAGCGGAAGTCAGGTGAAAACGGTTCGCAAACGTGCGTAGCCTGGAAACGAATCGCGAACGTCATTCCGATGTGCGACGAGGAGGAAGAGGAGGGGACAACATCGGCGCTCAATATCGAAACAAAAATCGAAGATTCACCTGCATAATCGCGCGTGTGTGTCACAGTGTCGCAAAGACACCGCGTAAAAGCGCCGCAAAAAAAAAAACGCACTAGACACGTGTTCACACATCGATATGTTCGATTTACGATTAATTCGCGTTAATCATCTCGCAATAATTAAGTTCGAATCGAGTGAAACTGGTTTTGTTGCGAATAATGGGAGACCAAAAAAAAAAAATTGATTAATTTCTGTATGCGATACGCTCGATGTGATTTAGTCGCGGTGTAATATTTACGATACGCTTTCCCGTCGGGTTCGGATACGCAAGATCGGCGAAAGTATCGATCCCATTGCTACCTGAACGCGGCGACGACGACGTCCAGATTGTCGACGGTTGCGCTCGACAGTTTGCTCGGACGAGAGCGGATTTTTTTTTGCTCGGGTCGTTTCCAGGTTAAAACGCGTCCGGACCCTGCCGACGTGTTTAACAGGTTGTTCTTATGTAAGTCGCAAACACGGACTCATGTGGATTACCGCGGTCGATTCTGCGGAATCTTAGAAACAAAAATGCCACAAAAATGAGGAAAAAAAAAACAAACTGTTCACG